AGACATGTGAGAAGGTTTAATACAAAATAACTTATAAATAAAAGGTTTGTATTTACAAGGTCCCTTCTCAGATGGAACCAGTTGTTTCCAACCCAGTGGAACGATGAGTCAGAGTTGGTGCTAGAGGATCACAGCCCAAGTATCACAAGCCTGGATTTAAATAGAAAGAAGTTAGCACAGGTTGTGTGTCATCAAGAAAGTTACCTCAATATGTAGTTAAAGATTTTTTTTTTATGCATACAAGAACTGGGGTATATGGGGGGAGGGGGTTGGGTGGGTAGAGTTTTCACCAGAGACAGAGTGGGGAGCAGACCAGGTGGCCTGACTGAAATACACTGCCTAGAGGAGCAGCTGGTGGGACAGACGAGGTCTGCTGTGCTCCCTGGCCAGGGGTTGAACTCAGGCCCCAGTGGAGATAGCATGGCAGCACTGAGATTTAATCCTAGGTCACCAAGGAGACCCCTCCACATAAGGTTAAAAGCTGTAATGGCATTTAAGATGTAATTACATCTTTTTTTCCTCTGTATGCTGCTGGTCAAATGAGTGACAGCAGGTCCATGACAACTGCTATGCTGCAGCAGCAAACTTGGCATTTGGGTAAGCCTTGGTTTCCTCTTCAGTTGCCCTTTCCTTTCCCTGCAGTACTTGGTCTGGAAATTTCACACACAAGGAGCTCTGGACTCCAGCTCCGCGCCACTAGACTGCAGATGCCTCACTTGTTCATCTCAGAGAAGGCAAAAGCTAAAGTCACAGGACCTGTGAGCTGTCTACTTCCCTCTTCCTCCACTCATTTCTACAAATGTTTGGCACCTTCCATGTACCCAGAATTGGGAGTAAAGATAAGATAAGGTTCTTGCCCTCACAAAGACACTGACTGCAGCAATGAGACAGGGACAGGGCACAGTGGAAACTGAAGAAGAGCCTGGACAGCTCTGAGGGGCAGCCTGACTATCTGGTACCGGACATCTGTACAAAGGACCCCTGAGCTGAGCTGGGAAAGCCAAAGGCACTCCAGACTGAATCCATGGAGGCCTGAGATCACCTGCATCGAGAATCTGCCAGCAGCTCTTGATAATCAGACTAAACTGCATTTTTAAAACATTTACCTGTTTCTAAGCTGTTATTTCTAACAAAGTGGGAATAAAACCAATCACTGAACCAGTCATACCACAGAGTCCCATGGGAGGCTTACCAGACAGCTCATGAGGAGACTGGCCTTTTCTTCTGTCCCTCCAGTGAGTGAAAACTCAGGTGTGTGGGGACAGTGCGCACTGTGCTCATTCACACTGTCCTCTAAACAGGCACGAAGTTGTTGTTCTGTCAACTCTGGAGACTAAAAAGAAAGTTAAACTACAACCTAATCACAGTCAATAGGCTGAAAATTCTAATGCCAACCAAGAACCCCATGTTACTGACTAACTCTGGTGGCTTGATTCTGTGGACCTTTAGGAGCGGGCTCCTGATGTGCTGAGATGAGCTCCACCTCACTGCTCCAGATGAACCAGCGCTGTACACCTGCCACAAACACTGCCTCACTCAACACACTGGAGACACCCAGAGCTGGTGGCGGTCACCTTCTAGCCTCGTACATGCTCTGCTCCAAGGGCTGAGAGTATTCTTGTCAAGAACCACACTGTTTGGGCCCCACTCCGTTTGTGGCCGTTGAATTTGCTAATGTAATTACATAATGTCAACCAATGAGAATAAGGATTATTTTTATGATAAATGGAATGTTGAGAAAACTCAAAAAGCTAGATTGCTTAAAAAAAAAGGTTAGGTAAAAGATGGGGAGGAAAAAGCCTGAAGGTGTGCACACAGCATCTTGATGCACTTTTACAGAAACAAAACTGGAAGCTCTAGACACTAATGGTTTCTGTGGGGAGGCAAGGAATTACAACTAATTTGCAGTGCTTGCCAATTTCCATATTATTTATATTCTTGCCATCAAGCCACCAGTGTGAATGTAACATGATGCTGGAAAGAGATACATAAAACTGACTCCAGCACACCAAGGAAGGTTAAGAAAGCAGATGTTTGTGGAAGAGGTGACACGATCTGTGTGGAACACTTACATGTGAGGGGATGTACAGGCCACACTGACACATAACCACTCCACTTGCTATCCTCAGGTTGTACCTAGAGGCAGAATTGGGATCCCATAGTATCATGGACAGCAGAGCTGGATCTCCAAACCTTTCCCAGCAATAACTCTGGGGGGAAATCCCACTCACTTGGGAGTGAGGGGTGGAAACAATAATGCTGAAAAAGTTTTGAAAACTCTTACTTTGTACACACAGGACAGATGAGGGAGTTTGCTTCCCACTCAGTCAGCATGATGCTGAGACACTTTTCATCAAACTGCAAGCTCTTCTCATACTCACTGATGATGGACTGTTCTGCAAGACAAAGGCCAGCTGGGGTACTTTACCATGCTTCAGGCACACTGCCTCGCCTTTCTCACTAAGCTTCACCTCCAAAGGCTTCCTTCATACAAGAGAAAATGAAGGTAAAAGCATGCTCAAATCATTAAATATTTACTGCTCCATCTTGTTGGATGCTCACCCCACATCTTGAAGGCCACAGGAGGAGAAATACAATGTTGGGATCCCAGAACCAACTGGAAAAAGCACTTAACTTTTGACAGGCTTACCCTGCTGAGTCTAAAGTGATCTTCCCTCAATACCCGTATACTCAAAAGTCCACATTGTTCAGACCTGTGTGTGCACTCAGCAGACATGACGCAACAATGCTTAGTAAGGGGAGGCAAGGAACATGAAAATAAAAAAGACTGGACCTGCTCTTCAAGAGCTCACAGTCCAGGCTCTAGTCAGGAGTCAGCAAACCATAATCCACAGGCTACATCCAGCCCAAATGTATGTCAGAATATAGCCATGCTGATTTGTCTATGTATTGCTTGCAGCTGATTTTACAGTACAGCAACAGAATTGAGTGGTTGCAAAAGAAACAGTATGGAGCCTAAAATATTCACGCTCTGGCCCTTCACAGCAGTTTGCCAACCTCTGCATGAGTGTCCTTATAACTGAGTATATATAGCAGAACACAGGGAAATCTCTGTTAGTGAGAAGCAAAACACAATAAAATAAAAATATAAATAATCTCAAGAATTTACAATTTAATTGGAGTCTGTAATACCAATCACAAGTATTCTGTTGTGATCCAAGATCTCCCACAAAATGTTTTTAACCACCACCCCCATATAACAATATCAACCATTACAACTAACACATAGCACTTACTGTGTGTCAATGCCAGTCCCTTATGTATATTAATATCTTCACTAGGATTATTATTAAAGGTAAAGAACAGACACAGGCAGATTATATATTTTATACATAGTCATACAAATTAAGCTAGTAAAGCTAAGAGGTTAATTTTAGCAGTCTGGCTTTTGTAGCTCCATGGTAATAACTATTGTTTACTGAAAGCTTGTTTAGTCCTACAAACAAACTTATAGGGTAGATGTGTTATTCCTATTTTACTGATGATCAGAACTAAGTCAGCAAAAAGATGGATAGAGTAAAAAAAGGAGCGCTAAGAACTGATCGTGCCTAGACAAAAGGTCAACATTAGAGCAGATACAGGCTATAGACTACTCCCGAGGGGTGACCTTGGTCAGTCAGCTCCTGCTGAATTTCTTCCAACACAGTCAGGTCCATTGGTTCTTCCACCTGCAAGAGACAAGTGCATCATCAGAGATTTGAAGCTACAGTTAGCTAACAAGCTGCCAATAATTCATACTTGGAGCCCAGGTTTACCTGAGGAAACTAGTACAAATTATGCAGACAATGGAGTATTAATGTGATCATTCCGAGAAGTCACCCACAAATGATTAAACTACCCAGTAGTCAAATAATGGCACCCTATTTTGGAGAACTGCTACATATGTAATTTTGTCAAAACTATATGGAAAGTTTCTAACTTCTATAAACATCAGTTTGGGTCTGTAAAGTAGGAACAAAACCTACCCAAGAGTGTTACTGTCAGCACTATTTGTGGTTATATCTATCACATTTGGCAGACAGCAGGGCAAGTAGAAAACATCAAATAACATGACACCAGTATAGACAGCCTGGGTGTTTTCAATGCAGTTCCCAACATGCTTTCTTATAGAGTCCTTACAATCCTAACAATAGTATCTCCCTGATTTTATAGATGGGAAAACTAAAGCTCAAAGAGGCAGAAAGGAGTTAAGATTCAAACAGCATAATCAGAATCAGAATTCCAGAACCCTGACTTCCAATTCAGTGGTCTTTCTGATATGTGGTAAATGATTTCCTATCCACACCCAGCTCCCAACTCTGGTTGAGATTAGAATCATAAAACTTCTGTAGACCTATTTAAAAAAGGTTCCTGGGGAGAGGGAGGAGGAGGACAGAGGTGAGGACAAACAGGGGAAGGGCACAAGGGTCTGTGGTAATGGACTATGGGTTCTTTGGAGGTGCACGCACTACAGCAACACTTGAAGGGGGCAGCCTACATTTCTATAATGCAAACAATGACACATACCAATATTAATGCAATACAAAAATTTACCAAAAAAGCTTCTGGGGACCTAGCTCATGCCTACTGAATCCAAATTTCCAGCAGTTGAACCAACAAAGAAATCTCTTAATTTCATAAGTGATTATGGCATAGCAGGTCAACAGTGTGATATTTAGAATTAATAATCTAGAAGAACATAACATTAAAAGTAGAAGAACCAGGCCTTCCCTGGTAGCGCAGCGGGTTAAAGCACAGCACTAAGAAGCTTAAGCCACTTCCGCATGAGTTCGATCCCCGCCTGCCCCAGAGGTGACCACATGGCATGGCAGATCTCTCCTGACCCGCCCGCTGCTCCCCTCAGCAGTGTACCTCTCGATCTGCCTGTTCTGCTCCCCACTCTGTCCCTAGTGAATCCTCTCACACTCCACATCTCTGGCCTGTACCCCAGTTCTGTATGAATAAATAAATAACCTTTAAAAAAAAAAAAGTAGAAGAACCTGGGTGAAAGACAGACGCCTGACTGAGGGCTAAAGGGTAGATGGGGTTGGGTTAGAAGGCTTGGGTAAGTAGGTATAAGGGCAGTAGGCACGCTCCCTGAAAACACACTTTCCAGCCTGACCTGAGTCAAGACCTCTGGACTGCTCTCCATTGACTGCAAAGCATTCCACTCTTCTTCCATCACCTCCTGTACAAGGGTTTTCTGCATTCTCCCTGGCACAGTCTGGCGGTATCTGTTCAGGACCCTGTCCCGGCTGTTTCTCATTCTCTCCAGGCATCCCTTGGAAAAGGAAAGAGTTTTTGGCTTTTTTTTTTTTTAAGAAAAGGCAATTCCATTAAAAAAAATAAAACAACCTTTACCTTAGTTAAAACATTAAAGAAAATTTATGAACAAAATTTCACCTACAATCTTATACTATAGCTATTTTTTAATATTCCTCCCCAGTCCTTACTCTCATGTACATATGTACATATGAAATTATGGTTTGCTCATGTATTTCCAAATGAGCAAATTGTATCTTCAATGCCAGCTTTCTTAAAGTTTGGGTGATAATAGCCCAACTGTGCTATTATGGGACTAAATTTAGCTTGCTTCTAAAAACTTGCTGCTCTGGATATGGCTACGGTACATGCTTCCCTGTACAACAAAGGTCCTCGGCTTAAGGTGATTTTGTCCCCCAAAGGGCAGCTGATAATGCCTGAAGACATTTTTGGTTATCACAAATCTAGTTGCAGGATTTCTAGTGGGTTCAGGACACTCCTAAACTAATTCTACAATACACAGAACAGCATCCCAACAACAAAGAATCCCTCAAAATATCAAACCCTGCTTGATATCTAGCATTATTTTCCTGGGATATACCCACTACTTCTGGGGTTCGTGGTGAGGTAGACAACATTGCTTACAGGCATCATGTTGAGTTTAGAGTAGGTCAGAACTGAAGTAAAAGCACTGCTCTACTGAGACTTAGTAACCGAGGCTTCTCCCAGGACTATGAATTTCTTTCTCCCAGGACTATGAATTTCTTTCTCACATGGGTACATATGTATGGAGTGCTTCTTTCGGTGCCCACCTACCTAACAACAGCAGGTGCTTTGTAGAGGTGTAGAAGAGCGATTATGAACACCCTCACATTAAAAACAAACCCATACTCAAAAGTAAAGTTTCCTGGATGGGACGGCCCGGGCTAATCCAGGGGTCCAGAAACGCCGGAGTGGGAGGCAGAGGGCGATTGGGGGGATGCGGGTGGGGGGGGTTAAACGGAGAGGACGGTGGCCAGGGCCCCTAGGGAGCCATGGATTCCAAAACACTTTCACCGGCCAGGCGCTCCCAATATCTACCTTACCCGGCCGGGCTGAGGCGAAGGCACGGGGAGAGTGGTTCCAGGGACGAGCTAGGGAAGTAACGACAGCTCATACAAGGTTTCCTAAACCTCACACTTACCTGCCTGAAAGCCTCTTTCCAAGGCGGTGAGCCCACCTGTTTGTACAACAAGCGATGCGGAGATTCCGAGGCCTCTGCCATATCCTTTCGCGGGAATTGAGCCAGAATGCCTCGCCTCCTTGGGGCGCGCAGGACTCTGGGAGTTGTAGTTGCTAGGCCCTGAGCGAACTAGCTTACAGGGAATTCTGGGAAGTGTCGTCTTTACCCGCGGAGCCTTAACTAGGTAACGCAAGGGTGAGTGGTTTAAGTAGTAACATTTGTGAAGTCAACTCAAAGTGGATAGAGGAAGGCTTGTTTGTTTTGTTATTTTTTTTTATTACTGAGCGAGGTAGGTCCTGAGGGGAGGTTTTCTACGTCTAATTTCACCGATAAAGGCCCCAACAGGCAACTACACACAAGGTTTAGGCACTCCTCCAAGAACTACACTTGTAGCTCCGAAGCGTTCTCAAAACAAGCCTCGCCCAGCCGACCCTTTTGCCCCACCCACTGTGGCGTCTGAATAAATAATTAACCGGCAATTGGCGTTCCTCAGGTCTTCGCCTGCCGGGTACGCCGTCTCAGTCTTCGTCCCGCCCCAACTCTAGCCTCGTGCTTCCGGGGTGTCTGCTTGATGATTGGCCGAGGCCACGGACGGCTGGCCGCGGATTGGCTGCGCTCAGGGGCGGGCAGAGCAACTGGAGTAAGAAGAATAGTTGAGCCAAGATGGCGGCGGCCGAGGGGCTGGCTGGTGACGGGGACCCCTGGCAGACCTGGCTTCCTAACCACGTTGCGTTCTCGCGGCTTCGGGAAGGACTGAAAAACCAAAGCCCAGCGGAGACTGAGAAGCCGGTCTCTTCATCACTGCCTTCGTCGCCGGCCCTGCCGCCTCAGTTGCTGACGAGAAACCTGGTGTTAGGCCTTGGCGGAGAGCTCTTTCTGTGGGACGGAGAAGGCAGCTCCTTCCTAGTCGTTCGCCTTAGGGGCGTCGGCGGCGGCGGCGAAGAACCGTCCCTCTCCCAGTACCAGGTACGGTCCTGCTGGTCTTGAAAATGACCCTTAGCTGGGATCTCAGGCAGTTCCATCCCCTTCCCATCCTGTGCTCGTCTTGTCGTGGGTGTGCAGCCAGGCCCACTTCAAGTGGAAAAAAAGCCTGTGGTTTCATGGCGCTCTAGCGTGGTTACTCTTTCCCACTTTCATTACTTTGGCAAATGTCTCTCGACTCCGACACCGTGCTCGGCTGTTAGAGGAACTCAGGCTCTTCAGGATGCTGAAATTCCTGAGGCCTGGAGGAAGGGAAGGACCACTCGGGAAAATAACCCGAAATGCAGTACTCCGAAAGAAGACAAAGCAGGGCTGCGGGCAGAGCGTAGGTGGAGTTGCTATTTTCAGTTCTTTGGTGGTGAGTAGCATGAAATAATAAGGGTAACCCGAACTTTCTGGGTGGGCACTAAGTCAGGTATAGACTTAAAGCACTTTAGAGCCTGACTTGGAGGGGAAACCTCTCGTGAATTTCTTTCCCTTTTAGAAAATTAGACTGTCCCCAAATTGGGAGGGATTGGTTTGTTTTTAATAATTCAACAGCCTGTGAATCTAGGTCAGATGAAAAAGTATTCTAGACTTACAATGATCAAACATTGCTTTATGCAACTGTTTAGAATAAGTTGATTGAAAGTAAAAGTTTGGCACCCCTGCTCAGTCTGTGCGTACGGTTGTCTGATGAGAAAAGATTTACAAAGATGCCAGCAGTATTTCTGCAGTTCAGATTATTGGTCAAAAAGTCTAGTTTTACTTGGAGTAAAATTTCACTTACAAGAGTAATTTTCAGATGCGCAGCAAGACCACCCTAGAACTGCAGCATTTGACCCAGTTATGATTGAATAATTTGTTGTCTATATGCTTTTATAGACTAAGCACAAGGAGCAACTGTGTGGGCCTTACCTAATTTTGTAATCTCTAGTATTTCACAGAGCACCTGGGATGTATAAGCACCCAGAGGAAATGAGTGACTCTCTGAATGGCCATTAATCCTCCAGAATCTCAACAACTCAGAAATACACAACAGAGTTTTAGTGTTAACAAAAGCAATGACTTTCAAAACAAAGCCACATCTAAACACTGATTATCACAAGTGATATAGGATAATAGATTTATAATGTATTCAATATATAACGGAAGAAAAATAGCCTCTGTTTGATTAAGATAGGCTGTCAAAATCAAGCAGAAAGATACGGGCTGAGAAGATGAGAAAGAACCACTCAACAGAGGAAAGTAATTTCTTGATTGGGGCAGAAAGATGTGTAAAGAAGAAGGAAAGAGCCACTCACCAGAAAAAATAATTAACTTGATTAGGGCAGAAGTATGTTGAGAAGGCAGGAGAGAACCACTCACCAGAAAAAAAAAATTATTAGGAAAGCTAAAAAAACAAAGAAAAAAACACACTTATAGACATTAGTAACAATTAGTAGAACTTTCATTATATTCAGAGTAATCTTTTCTGGAAGGGTTTTGGCTTGTTATTCTCCATACATAAGGTTAGGCAATGATTTGCAGCCTCATGATTTGTTATTGAAAATAGGAAGAAAAGAAAAAGGGGCTTTGAGATGGCTATGAGAGTAAAAAGAGGAAATAATAAAAGCAAAATTTTTGAGTGCATATGATGCTGAGACAAACAGCTTATCAGAACCTTCTGAAAATATCAGTGTTCCATATTAAACCTGCATAGGTAAAGCACCATTCTGTTTGCTGCAGGTCTTAAAGCCAGTATGTCTCTCATTGTATTATTTCTAAGTAACATAATAATTAAAATGCATTAATGCTTCTAATGTTTTTGTTATATGAGTATGTGAATATGAGAATTCACATATTGAGAGCCATAGACTATGGTAAGGATACAGAGATGAAGAACACAGATCTCAAGTAGTTCATAGCTACTTGAGTTGAGATGAACAAGTAAAAGGACAGGATACAATGTGATAAGAGCTACAATAGCATTTTCCAAAGTGTGTTATGGAAATATATAAAAGATGAATTTATTTCTAGCCAAAAAATCAGTTTCTCTGGAGGAAAGTACATAGAAGGTGAATCTCCAAGAATGTTAACCAAGGGAAGGAAGGAAAAATGAGGACATTGCAGGAAGAGGAAGGGTGAGCAAAGAGAGAGGTATTAACAAAGCATAATTATTTCTCAGAAGTACAAATTAATCTAATTACAAGTGGAGAATGGCAAATGAACTGAAATGGTAAGCTGGAGCTTAATCATAAAAAGGGAAATTATATAGGGCCCTCCCTGGTGGCACAGCAGGTTAAGCACTAAAAAGCTAAAGCCACTTCAGCATGAGTTCGACACCCGCCCCAGAGGTGACCCACATGGCGGCAGACCTCTCCTGACCCATTCACTCCTCCCCTCAGCCGTGTACTTCGTTAGTGGGCCTGTTCTACTCCCCACTCTGTCTCTAGTGAAGCCTTTCACCGCCTCTGCACTTCTAGCCTGTACCCCAGTTCTATATGCATAAATAAATAAATCTTTTAAAAAATAAAAGAAAGGAAATTATATATACTACTAGTTATCATGGTAGGAAAAGCTGTTGTGTTTTACATAACATTTCAACTTAAATGGTTAAAAGTATTTCATCAACCATTATCCTATAATTAATAGAAAACTAAAATAGTACTGATTCTTTTAAGCAACTGCCATGTATATTTTTATTAAAATGAACTATTTTGACCAGTTTACTTTCATTTCCAGAGATTGCTCTGCATAAATCCACCTCTATTTGAAATCTATCAAGTCTTACTAAGTCCAACGCAACATCATGTAGCACTTATAGGAATCAAAGGACTAATGGTATTAGAATTACCTAAAAGATGGGGGAAGAATTCTGAATTTGAAGGTGGAAAATCAACAGTTAACTGTAGGTAAGTTCTGTTTCCATTTAGTGTTCATCTGTTGAATTTGTAATAATGCAGAGTATTGTTCCAGATCTCTGGTTCTTAACGAATGCTGATTATGCTTCTATGAGAACAATAAAGTACTCCAGATGGTCTTGTGATATTAATATTTAAATTATTGTGACTGAGTGATCACATTGCAAGGCAGACCATTTTTGTCAAGTAAGTAGAAATAAGATTTTTAAAAGTTGTTGTTTGTGAGCCAAACTTAACTTTTATTTTTGCATTGTTTTTTAACAAGTATAGAAGGAACAAGCCTCCTCCTTTCTCTTTGTCTACCTCTTTGGTGGTGGGAATAGGAGGTGGTACAGGTGAGGCATATAACTAGCTGTCTGAAAGGATACATAGTAGAAACCCATCATTAGCTCCACTACTTACAGGTTTGACCCCCTTAAAATATTTTCTTTCTATGGCCCTCCCTGGTGGCGCAGCGGGTTAAAGCACTGCACTGAGAAGCTGAAGCCACTTCCGCATGAGTTCAAATCCCGCCTGCCCCGGAGGAGACCACATGGCGCGGCAGACCTCTCCTGTCTCGCCCGCTGCTCCCCTCAGCAGTACTTCGTCGATCTGCCTGTTCTGCTCCCCACTCTGTCTCTGGTGAAGCCTCTCACCGCCCCTGAGCCTCTGCCTGTACCCCAGTTCTGTATGTACAAATAAGTAAATCTTTTAAAAAATATATATATATTTTCTTTCTAAATATCTGTCCTCATTTCCATAATCAGAATCATAGTAGCTCTCCTTATAGTTTCCTAACTAGATTATGAAAGGATCAAATAAGGTATGATATTAAAATCACTTATTAAGGCCCTTCCTGGTGGCGCAGCGGGTTAAAGCACAGCACAAAGAAGCTAAAGCCACTTCTGCATGAGTTCAATCCCCGCCTGCCCCGGAGGTGACCACATGGTGTGGCAGACCTCTCCTGACCCGCCCGCTGCTCCCCTCAGCAGCGTACTTCGTAGATCTGCCTGTTCTTCTCCCCACTCTGTCTCTGGTGAATCCTCTCACTCTCCGCATCTCTGGCCTGTACCACAGTTCTGTACGAATAAATAAATAAATCTTTTTTTTAAAAATCACTTATTAAGTATAGTATAAAGTACTTTGTAATTTAGAAAATAATTTCATTTTGATCTTTGATATTCACTGACTACATGTTTTAAATGCTCTCTTAGCAAGATTTGGGAGAAAG